TCACCCCTTTCTCACTTTCTCTCTCTATTTTTTTTTCCCCACTAACCCCCCCTGTCAGCTCCGGCTTTGTGGCGCAATGACATATAACCGATTAATAAAGAGTATACCTTAAGTAACAAGAGGAGCTTAAATCCGAAGCTCCACTTGGCAAAATAAAAGTGTTGGCACAATAAAGCACCCAGACTAACATCCTGCTTGCTAAACTGCCGGACACGACAAGGGGGGAAAAAAAATAATAATAATAATATAGTCCCACTCAATTTGGTCAAACGCCTTTTCTGCATCCAAGGCAAGAACTGCAATCCTAGCTTGAGGCTCAAACCTAGTATACAAGATATTCATTAGTCGCCTAACATTAAAAAAAGAGAAACGGCCAGGAATGAAACCAGACTGGTCATGATGAACAATTTTCCCAATACAATTATTTAGTCTCTTAGCCAGAATCTTAGTGAAGATTTTAAGATCAGAGTTCAAAAGAGATATGGGTCGATATGATGATGGATTTGTTTCTTCTTTACCTTTTTTTAAAATTAAGGAGATATTTGCCTCATACAAGGACTGGGGAAGCGGATGTTTACCAGCTGAGTGGTTAAACATTCTCAACAGCAAAGGGGAAAGCGTTTGCGCAAATGTTTTATAAAATTCAATCCCAAAACCATCTGGGCCGGGTGCCTTCCCACCCGGGAAAGATTTAATAGCATCCAGTATTTCAGCGATGGTTATGTCAGCATTCAAAGCTGTCTGCTCTACACGCCCTAACTTTGGAAGCTGTAATGAATGAAGAAAATTACCTAATGCTGTGGGGTCAGAGCAGCCCTTCGATTTGTATAATTCTTCGTAAAATTCTTTAAATGTATTATTAATTTATTGATTTCAGCGGGATTTGTTAAAAAGACACCCACCTTGTTTACGATTTTATGAATTGCTCTATTGGCTTGAAGCCCTCTTAGCTGGCGAGATAGCAATTTGTCTGGTTTATCACCAAGTTCAAATTGTTTTTGCTTAACTTTCAGCAACATGTTATTAACTCGGATAACAAAACTGTTGAAGAGGCATGGGAATTTTTTAAAAGCACATTATTGCAAGTACAAAAGGACTTCATACCCGTTTCCAGCAAGAATAAATCTAGGAAATTGCAACCTAGGTGGTTTAATAGGGACATAAAGTATAAAGTAAGGAGGAAAAGGGCTTTGTTCCAGAGATGGAAAATAACT